CAAACATTCCCTCCTACAGATGACGTGTAGGCAAAACATTTAAAGAAATGTTCTGACACATCATTCGCTGACCACAAAATTATACTGACCCATGGGTGACTTGCAGGAAGTCAAACTTAAAATAATAAATCAAGAGCTTAAAGGAAAAAAAAACCAGCAAAGAACTCAGTGGCTACACACCTCAGAGAAAACGGAATCTACATAATTAGTCCAGGAAAGTCATTCAACAATCAGAAACAAGAAAACAAACATAAATCAGCAACATAACAAACCTTGGAAGTGGGAGGGATCTGATGCCAGAACTGTTAAAATATAATGTCCAGTTTTCAACAACAAAAAAAATGAAATACACAAGCAAATTTTTGCCATGCACACAAAGCAAAACAGCCAACAGAAAATTTGCCTGACGGGGCTTGGAGTTTGGACTTAGCACACAATGACTTTAAATCTCCTATTATAAATATGTTTAAAGTCGTAGCAGAAACCATTTCAAGAGTATTGAGTATGACAATAGTATCTCATCAAAGAGAAAATAGAACTAGAAATTATAAAATGAAAATGTAAAACGATGTTAATAGTTAAAATTGCTACTTCTACTCAATATTGGATTGGAGGTTCTAGCCACTGCAATTAGGTAAGAAGGAATAAAAGGAAGAGGTAAAATTATATTTGCGTATAACGTCATGTATTTATGAAATCTGAAGAAATTCATTAAGATCTATTACAGCCAATAAAGAAGTTTATCAGTGTGTCAGGATACAAGATCTCTAGGCAGAAATCAGTTGTATTTCTGTATACTAGCAATGAACAATGCAAAATGAAATTAAAATAATTCTATATACAGTTAGCATTAAAAAGAGTAAAATACTTTGCAACAAATTTAACAAGAGTGTAAGACCTGTACACTGAAAACTGTAAAACATTGTTGAAAGAAATTAAAGAAGTCAAAATAAATAAAAGAAATATTCCTGTGTTCATGGATCAGAAAATGTAATATTGTTATGATGGCATTTCTCTCCAAATTGTTCTAGATTTCTTGCCATCTTTATCAAGATCTGAGCTAGCTTCTTTGCAGAAATTGACAAGCTGATCATAAAATTCATATGGAAATTCAAGGGACCCAGCATAGCTAAAACAGTTTTAATAAAGAAGAAATTGGAGGACTCACACTGGCAAATTTTAAAACTTACTACCAAGCTGTAGTAATCAAGACTGGTATTGGCATAAGGATATTCCAGCTCAGTGGGATAGAATTGAGAGTCCAGAAATAAATCCTTACGTGGTCAACTGATTTTCAACAAGGGTGCCAAGATGATTCAATGGGGAAGAAATTGTGTTTTTAGCAAATCCTGGAAATAGGAGCAAGAATGAATTTGGAATTCTACCTTTTGTCATACTCAAAAATTAACCAAAATGTATCATAGACTCAACGGTAGGAGTGAAAGCCTAAAACTAGTGGAAGAAAACAAAAAAAAACTTTGTGACTTTGGGTTTTGAAGCATTCTAAGATATGACATTCTATGCTTAGAATGCTTGGGTTTCTAAGCATTCTAAGATATGACACCGAAAGCACAGTTCATGAGTGAAAAAAACCTGATAATTGGAATTCATTAAAATTGAAAACATTTGTATTTCTACAGAGACCTAAAGAAAGTGATAAGACACAGGATGGGAGGAAGTATTTGCAAATCATGTATTTGATAGTGGCCTTTTATCCAGAATATACAAAGATGTCTGTAATTCAATAATAAAAAGACAAATTACCTTCTTAAAAAATGGGCAAAGGGGCGCCTGGGTGGCGCAGTCGGTTAAGCGTCCGACTTCAGCCAGGTCACGATCTCGCGGTCCCTGAGTTCGAGCCCCGCGTCAGGCTCTGGGCTGATGGCTCAGAGCCTGGAGCCTGTTTCCGATTCTGTGTCTCCCTCTCTCTCTGCCCCTCCCCCGTTCATGCTCTGTCTCTCTCTGTCCCAAAAATAAATAAACGTTGAAAAAAAAAAAATGGGCAAAAATCTGAATAGATGTTTCTCCAGAGAAGATGTACAAATGGCCCATACCACATGAAAAGATATTCAGTATTAATATTTATGGAAAATGTAAATCAAAACCACAGTGACCTGTGACTTCATACCATTGTGATGTCTGTAATTACAAAGACAGATAAAAACAAGTGGTAAAAACGTTCAGAAGTGGAAACTCTGATACACTGATGGGAAAGTGAAATGCTACAGCCACTTTGGAAGACAATTTGGCCATTCAGTACTTGAATAGAGAAATAAAATTGTGCTGTATTCATGCATACAGTTTGATATGGCATTGAAAATCAACCACAATAACAAGTAACTGCCTGGAAATATTATTTTAAAATGTAAGCAAGGCATAGAAGCATTTATATTTATTGTCTAATTCAGTTTACAAAGTTCACAAAAGGGGCAAAAGTAATCCACATTGTCAAAAAATGCGTACATACATGGTATAAATATAAAGAAAGGCAAGAAAAACAGTACCATAAAAGTCAAAATAATGATTTCCTTTAAAGAGAGGCAGGGGAGTTAGAAGGCAGGGTGATTGAGCTCTGGCCGTATTTTATGTCTTAGCTTGAGTGGTGAGTAGTCCCATTGTAACTTTTCTATGTGTGTGTTCTATTTCACAATAAAGAGGGTTTAAAATAAAAATGGTGGATCTATATTATAGAAAGCATTTTTTAAGGATTTCTAGGTTTGTCTGTATATCCAGTATCTACACTAAGATTTTATACCCTTTATTCTTCTTAGCCCACTTGTCAGGATTTTGGATACTCACTAGTATAATTAGAGAAAAGAAGGCTAAAAATTGGAACCTTTGTTTCCAGTTAGTAACCAGTGATTATGACGAGCAAGACACACCTTGTCCTCAGTTTCCTCTTCTGAGACATTAAGTTGACCAGATTAAAAAAAAAAAAAATCCCATTCAGCCCTAACATTGTATGAAATTATAGGAACCTCTAAAGAAATGAGTCTGATAGAGTAGCAGTGGCAGCCCTGGGAAAAGAGTCTGATCTCACAGTGTTAACTGTTAACACAGTTTTTTGACTTTTTTAACTGTTAAATCAAGTTTTTTGACTTTTTTGGAGTCCCCTCTCCTCTCCTCCGACATATGAAGATGAAAATACTACTTAACTCACAAAGTTATTAAGATTAAATAAAACAACCATCGTATTAGGGTTCTCCAGAGAAACAGAACTAATAGGATGTGTGTGTGTATTTACATAGAGAGAGAGAGAGAGAGAGATGGAGAGATAGGTTTATTTTAAGGAATTGGCTTGCAAGACTGTGAGGGTTGGCAGGTTTGAGATTTACAGGGCAGGCTGTCCAGCTAGAAATTCTCGCACGAGTCGATACTGCAGTCCTGAATCTGAAGGCAGTCTTGAGGCAAACCTCTTTCCTCTTTGGAGGACCTCAGTCTTTTCTTTTAAGGCCTTCAACCAATTGGCTGAAGCCCATACACATTAGGGAGGGTGATCTGCTTTACTCAGTTTACTGATTAAAGTGTTAGTCACCTCTGAAGAATACTTTCACGGCGACAGCTAGCCTGGTGCTTGACCACACAGCTGAACACCATAGCCAAGCCAAGTTGACACATAAAATTAACCATCACACACATCTGCAAGTATTTATACCGCTATGGCGAAACTGTCATAGGTCCTGAATAACCGTTATGTGCTGTGCTCTCTGATTCACACTTTACTTGGATCTTTATTTCCAAATGAAGTTTTAAATCTGCCTACCTCTCTCCAGATATACCCATTTCACCTTAGTTCAAGGCACTCAGTGAAGATTTTTGGAGATCAGTAGCATTAGAGATAGATTTCTGAAGTACTCTGGGTTTTTTTTTCCCCCTTATTTTAGCACTTAGCACTTGTTTGTACTCACCACTAGTCTCTAGGTTTGTAGAGTAGCAGGGATGGTAACTTCTTCCTCATTGTGAAATCCAACACGTCTTCCACCATATAGTAGGCTCTCAAATATTTGTCGAATGAATGACCTGGAAAGATTTGGGCATATTTTTATTTTTGTATTTTATTAAAAAAAATTTTTTTTTCAACGTTTATTTATTTTTGGGACAGAGAGAGACAGAGCATGAACGGGGGAGGGGCAGAGAGAGAGGGAGACACAGAATCAGAAACAGGCTCCAGGCTCTGAGCCATCAGCCCAGAGCCCGACGCGGGGCTCGAACTCACGGACCGCGAGATCGTGACCTGGCTGAAGTCGGACGCTTAACCGACTGTGCCACCCAGGCGCCCCTGGGCATATTTTTAAAAGAGATCTGCAGTGTGTTAACATATAATTTTGTCTTCGCTCAACTTGCTTAATGCTGTTAAGAACTTTGGTTCTTCAGTAAAATCTGGTAACCATGCTTTCTTCATGTGGATGATCAAGCTGGTGGGGATTCAACATGTGAAAGATAAACACCAATGTGAATTAGGAAAATCTGCGCCACACCTTGTGTACATCTTAGTTACACTCTCAATATCTGTGCCATCCTGCCACAGGTGTTTATTTCACACTCATTCATGATGACAAACATGGTCTATATTCTGCTTAAATGCCTGGAATGTCTTGAAGATAGCTCCACGTGGAAATCTGGTTTATCATTTAATTGCAAATACTTTGCTTTCTTTAAAAAAAGGAAAATGCAGGGGCACCTGGGTGGTTCAGTCGGTTGAGCGTCCGACTTCGGCTCAGGTCATGATCTCATAGTCTGTGGGTTCGAGCCCCGCATCAGGCTCTGTGCTGACAGCTCAGAGCCTGGAGCCTGTTTCCAATCCTGTGTCTCCCTCTCTCTCTGCCCCTCCCCCAGTCTCACTTTGTCTCACTCTGTCTCTCAAAAATAAATAAATATTTAAAAAAAAGTTTTTTTTTAAATAAAAAAGGAAAATGCTCTTTATAAATACACATAGACAATAAACACAAACACACGCCTACATATTTATTGATCTCTTTCTTCTCTTTTGAATTTTTCAGGTGCTTTCCCCAGCCTGAGTCCTGTGAATTCTCCCAGCCATGGACCAGTCTCCGCTGGCTCTCTAATGAATCGATCACCTGTAGAATTTCCTGCCACTGCCAGTTCTCTTACTAAGCCAAGTGTTATTTTACACCGATCTCTGGGCAGTGCACCCAATTCACCAGATTTTTATCAGCATGTTAGAAATTCTGATAGCAGTTTATGTAACAGGTAAGTTTCCTAAATGTTGATTATTTCTGTCTCAAAATATAGGTTATTTTAATAAAGTATTCCTAGTTTTCTAGTTTTATGTTATAACTAGTTGATGGATTAAGACTGTATCTTCCCTATTTATCAAGTAGTTTTTCTTTTTAAGAAACTTTTCCTCATTTTAGTGCAATTGTTCATTTTTGAATTAAGTAATCTCTATCAAAAGTGATATATAGTAGGGGCGCCTGGGTGGCGCAGTCGGTTAAGCGACCGACTTCAGCCAGGTCATGATCTCGCGCTCTGTGAGTTCGAGCCCCGCGTCAGGCTCTGGGCTGATGGCTCAGAGCCTGGAGCCTGTTTCTAATTCTGTGTCTCCCTCTCTCTCTGCCCCTCCCCCGTTCATGCTCTGTCTCTCTCTGTCCCAAAAATAAATAAACGTTGAAAAACAAAAAAAGTGATATATAGTAGTATTCTATCCATCTCAAGATACCAGTAAATTATGAGAATTCTTTTAGTATATACTACCTTAGTACCCAGTTCATACGGTGTTTGTTTTCATTTCTGCTCAGTTTTTTATCAGTGATAAGTGTTTACCTCAGACCTCAGTGGTGACTTTCAAAATATGTTAGTTTCTTCGGGGACACAAGATACCTTCCAGGATAAAGCCTATTAAGTTTATAGAGAGATTGGACTTGTATGATATTTTGCAATGGGGTTCCTGGTTAAAAGTTAAACAGATTTCAAAATTGTATTTAGGTAAAAAGTTTTGTCTCATTTATGAATGTATATTTATCTATTTTATTCTTTAAGCTGTGGACATCAAATATTGAAATATGTTTCAACATCTGAATCCGAATCTGGTATAGACTGCCACAGTGGAAAGTCAGGTGAGATTGCAAAGGTCCTGTGTGTCTGAATTTCAGAACAGTTTCTTAGATTGTTTTAGAAATGAATAAATGTGAGTTTAACTTCAGTTTATCCATCTTTAAAATGAAGATTATAACATTTTTATATACTTACAAGATAAGTAGAGAAGTTACTAGGAACAAGTTATAAATAACAGAGGGTAAAAGTGTTCTGAAGACTAAAATGTGCTGGGGACGTGCCTGGCTGGCTCAGTCGGAAGAGCATGCGACTCTTGATCTCAGGGTTGTGAGTTTGAGCCCCACGTTGGGTGTAGAGATTACTTAAAAATAAAATCTTAAAAAAAAAAAAGGACTAAAGTGTGCTATACAAATGAATGCGGTTTTTTTCAGTTTATGGGTAGGGTTCATAAATAGAGTAATTAATTATGATAATGTTGAACTCTAAGCCCAAAAGAGTTTTTATGACATAGAGAGGAGTTGTTTTAAAATATAGTTTATTATATCATTCTGAAACATTTTATATCCTCAAACAAGAAATACTGTTGGTGATAAAATTATGGTGGTTTTATAATTTTAAATGTTGATGACTCAAGCATACAGTAATAGTTAACTAGGTAACTCAGACCGTCATTCCCCCTGAAAGTAGCTAGAAAAGCTGGACAAATTATTAACAACAAAAATGTGCTTAAAGCCATTGAAAACTAACAAGCTCCTCACAGTTACCAGTACAAGATCTGGAGGAGGATAGAAATTCATGAAGTAAGCCTAGCGTATGGGGCTATGAAAAAGGTATTTGCTCCTTCCAGAGGGTCCAGTGACTAATAGAATGAGCAATCCTTTTGGTACCTCCATGGGACTAGAGAGCTAGATATTAGAGGTGATGGCCTACCGTGGTAGGGATAACTTGGAAAACTCTGCAGCACTGCACCCTAAGAATAAAGGTAAATCAGCAATAGATAGGCCCCCTTAGGGATTATAGGCTCATACTGATCCCCTTATGTACTATAAACTTCACCCTTTTAAAGTGTACAATTCAAGGGCGCCTGGGTGGCTCAGTCGGTTAAGCATCCGACTTTGGCTCAGGTCATGATCTGACAGTTTGTGGGTTCAAGCCCCACATTGGGCTCTGTGCTGACAGCTCAGAACCTGGAGCCTGCTTTAGATTCTGTGTCTCTTCTCTCTCTGCCCCTCCCTGCTTGCGCATGCGCACATGCTCTCTCTCTCAAATATAAGTAAGCATTAAAAAAATCAAAGTGTACAGTTCAGTAATTTTTGGTTCTGAGATTGTTTAAAACACACACACCCACCCCCCCCACACACACACGCGCGCACTCACACACACGGAGAAGAGCAATCCTTTACAAACTCTTCTAAAAATAGTGATATCCTGATGTCATAACCAGACACAGGTATCACAAACCAAAAACAAAAAAAACTACAGACCAATATCTCTTATGTGTATAAACACAAAAACCCTTAACAAAATAATGGCAAACGGAATCCAGCAACATATGAAATGGTCACACTATGACTAAGTGGTATTTATCCCAGGAATGCAAGGGCAGTTTAACAGTTGAAAATCAATCAATGTAATATACCACATTAATAGAATAAAAGGGGAGAAAAATGCATGATAATCCAAATATGTGCAGAAAAAACATTTAATAAAATCTAACACTCTTTTCATGATAAAAGCACTCAAACTAGTTATATAGCAGGGAAGTTCTTCAACTTGATAAAGGGCATCTTTGAAAAACACACACCTTAATGAAAAAGGACTGATGTTTTCTCCTTAAGATCAAGAATAAGATAAGATTTTTTGCTTTCAGCATTTCAACATGGTACTGATGGTTCTAGCCAAAAAAATGGAAAGGAAAATAAAGGAATCCTGAATGGAAATAAATAAATAAAACTGTCTCATATTCATAGAGCATATAATCCTTTATATAGAAAATCCCAAAGAATACACACACACACACACACACACACACACACACACACAAGAACCAATAAATCAGTTTAGCAGAGATAAGATACAATATCAGTGTTGAACAAAATTGTATTTCTGTGTACTAGCAATGGGCCATCATAGATTGAAATTAAGAAAACATTTTCACTTGTAATAGTATCAAAAAGAATGAAGTAATTAGAATAAATTTAACAAGAGATTTATAAACTGAAAAACATAAAACATTGTTGATAATAGAGAAAATCTATGGGGTGCCTGAGTGGTTCAGCCAGTTAGGTGTCCAACTCTTGATTTAGACTCAGGTCATGATCTCACAGTGATGAGATCAAGCCCCATGTCAGGCTCTGCACTGGGCATGAAGCCTGCTGAGTATTCTCTCTCTCCCTCTGCCCTTCCCCTGCTGGTGCATGTGTGCTCTCTCT